GCAGTCGATTTTTTGTACGGAACGCTGAAAGGTCGGGATATTATTGTCATACATATTTTAAAATTATTGGACAGACAATGTATGTTGTGCATAGCAGGTTGGATGAAATTCGATGCTGTTTTGGAGCCCGTTTCATGTCATCGCTATTTGTGATACATCAATTAAGTTTAGTTCACTTAACGTATTATTCTGATAAAAATAGCTGCACCCTACGTATAAGAAATCATTTAAAATAATTTGTTGTCAAAATAACAGCTGAATGGATTAAGAGAAAAAATTTGAGTCACATAAATTTTGTTATAACGTTGCATTGTTAACACCTGTAACCTAATTAAGTCATTTTTAACGAAGAAGTTATTCAATATTTTGCCTGCGCTCAATCAATTATTCAATGTTATGGTCAACAGTTCACAAGTAGTATTAATTTTAAATGGGCGTTGACAGCTGTTCCTTGATAAAAACTAGAGCCGTAACAGTGATGAACTACCACGGCACTGATGAACTACCAGTAATTTTCAGCAAGGTTTTTTATATTGACGCCCGGCCGGCAGATTTACAATAGTCCTGTGCTGTCGATTTTTAGCGAGAGAGGGAGAGGTGGGAAGAGAGAGAAAGATGTATGTGAATTATGAATGGAATTTAAATGTGTTTACATGGCGTTTCGACATATAAACGTTCAATAGGCTCAGGCTTCGCATTACTACAAGCCTGCAGGAGTGCAAAATCTCGATTGAATCACTTGTATTTCCACAATATAGAATAAATTTTGCTTTTTCCTGAACCAATCAAATAATAAAAATACACAAATCATCACACGGATTAGAGGGTAATTTTACCTTGAATCTTTATTTTTTTTTGTACATCCATGGTGACATTTTTGTCAATTAATAACATTCTCCAACCGATTATTCGTATGAACTATTATCTATTAAAAAACTTCCATCCCATGAGATTACGTATCATATATTTACACATAAAATTTCAGTAGTAAATAATTTGAAGTGTAGTAGCCGGTGAACTCCAGGAGATTTTCAAAAATTTATTAATTAAAGTAAAATCTCTATAGATACTTTAATGAAACGACGAGACTTATGATTCAACACTTCATTTTTTAAATTGAAAAATAAGAGATCAAAAAACCGATCTTCCACAATCCTGCCAACCTGATCGACTCTGAGAATGACAGTCTACGAAAGATGAGATGAGAATGACAGCCTAGAAGTTATCATAAGCGATGTGAATAATTAACGAGAAGAGCACGAATCTCACCATAAGGATCACGAGGGTATTTGTAAGAAGATTTCAGCTAAGTTTTTCTATTAATTGATTGCATGTAAATAAGAGAGCGCTTCCCAGCCACGGTAATCAAGCGGGGTTGTGAACAAAATACGTGGCGCTGGAATTTGTGTAGTCAGCAGCGCTAAAAGAATTGCTCAATGAAACAAGAAAACACAAATGTATTTTCTTGTTGAAACCTACAAATACAAATTCGAATATATCATGAAAAGAAGTCAAGAGTGAAATGGTGACGTAAAATAGAAATAGCAAAGAAAGAAAGAAGTTGCAATTGTAGACAAATTTTATGTTAAGACTTTAAATTTGAAAATTGAAAACAGCTTATGAGTTTCATTTTGGCGAATAATGAAAACATTTCGGCGTAAACTTAATTTAATTTATTCATCTACAGTCAAAATAATTATAATGAAAATGCATATGAAACGAACAAAATTGCATTCAACTTTTCTGGCTACATTTACTTACGGAGATTCTATGAACAAGTGAAATTCAAAGCCTTTGTATTTGGTTTTTTCCAAGCTTCAGTTCTTCGGGAAACGAAATTCTCTTGCTTGTCGGAGAAGCAAAATTAGGCTGGTCTGGAGTCAACAGCTGGGACGAGTCCAGATGATTCTGTGTCAGAGTCGCGGCAAAACAAACTTTTCAGGAGCTGCTTAGGATTCAGATATTCGCGTCGAGACTTTGCCCTGGAGTCTCGACAAACATGAAGAACTGAAGCCTTGGGAGACTCGGCGAGTGGTACCAGAAACTGATCGGAAAGACTCTATTTTCAGCACGGAAAATTTATTTGTGCAAAGCAAATCAGCTGAGGATGAGCGCTAAATTTAGGATTGCGTGATCAATACGATATGCACGATTCAATAGCCAAAAATGGCCGTTTTTTAACCAGTGCTGCGTTATTAAACAGAATATAGTATAATAACTCTAACCAACATATTATCTTAACATAATAATTTGCCGTCGTTGATGCACAAATCCAAACAGCCAGGAAACAATTGTCAATTGCCAATTCCATTGACATTAATGCAAGTTTCAACAATTATCAATTGAGCGAGTTTCAACGTCTGCTATTTTTCATGTGCTGTAATTCGGCCGTCAATTTTGCAGCCGATATCTATTGTTCATTGCGAGCAGATTTTTTATTAATTCTTTCACCTAAATGTTGTTCAACGGAAATTGCTTTAAGGTTAGTACGAACGAAATTAATTTAATATAATATAAACATAAACGATATTATATCATGTTTACATAACAACCAAAATAAAGTTGTTTTGCCCAATTATTAAATTTTTCGAACAAAATTGTTTTATAGTGCGTTCATTGATCGCCTATAAAAACATTCATTAACAATATTAAAATTTTATAAATTTCAATCGTACATGTTATGCGCCTATGAGCATCGCTCGGTGATTCCTCCCTAGGGAGACTCAGTTAAAAATGATGGCCGTCTAATGGTAGGCCGGGCATAGTGCACAGCTTGGCCATCAACCATCGAATATTATTTTATAATGCTAGCAATCCTGACGAAAAGTTGTCTCCTAAGAGCCGTAAAGCTGTCAAAGGGTGCCAGCATCCTGGCTGCTATATAGTGAACATCCGCAAACCGTCTAAAATGCCCAGGTATTGTCAAAGAATTGTTATTGTTATTGTATATATAGTCATTGTTACTGAATTGACAACGATGGCGATTTGGATGACAGCTAACGATACGAAAGCCAGAAATTTACAGTTTTAAGTAGTTTTCATCTACTCATACAGCATTTTTATTTCTAAATAACACCGTGCAATTGAAATATTCACACTCTAAATTAATTCACAGCAACGCCCGCACTTGTAGTCCTCAGCAATTATTCAAGTTTCAGATCTGCATGGAGCAGCAAGAAAAGCCTGCTAACAATACAACTCAGATTGTACTACATCGGAGCAAACACTATTAATTACTATTTCCTATGCAGTGCTTGCCGAGCGTAACTCTACAGAGGTTCTCTTGTGAAAGGCAAATCAAAGAGAGCTGCTTTAACATAGCGATGTCGGCGCTAAAGAGTAGGCCTGATGTGGCCTTAGAAAAGTTTTTAAATTATTAAATTATTAGAACGCTAGACTGCCCTCGTATGCTATCAAGCTATACAGGCGTATCAAGGGCAGCCGCCATTCCCATGTTGACAGATTGGGATAAAATAATTTAATATTTGATGTAGCAAATCTCTATGGCTCGCACAAGCATGCATTAACAAATTAATATACTAATGTGTGTATAGCTGGGATAAGGTTGTTCATTAATGGAAATTTCGTTAAAGACCGTAAGTCTAATTCGTCGAACTCAGAATATCAATAAGAAAATGGTTGAAAAGAAATAATCTCTGGCCTTCAATGAAATTTGCACTTATAAATATGTATGCATGAATTTTATATGTTTTCTTCTAGAAAAATGTCGATGTCGTTGGATATAATGCAAAGCTACACGAGCAGACTGTTGTGTAAGGAATCATTCCATAAAAGAGCAACTTTCTATCTCAGTATTATATGTTGTTTGCTCCTAAATAATATCCTTTAAATTGTGTTTTTATTGCTGTTACCTTTGAAATTAGGATACGTAAGAGTCGTGGCAAAACAAGAAGAACTACTATAAGAATGTCACTTGCTAATTATGTTGTTATACCACGCTACTATTTTTTGCGTTAAAATTAAATGGACGTCGGAGCGAGCAAAGTTATTCATTAGTAGAATAGACGTTCATTATGTTCAATTTCTTATGAATCGCATTGCGTGCATCAACTTCGGACACACTTAACTGAAAGCATCGAGGATATCACAATCTTATTTACGGGGATTGTCAGCTTTACTCCATGCGCACAATTGACCGCTCTACTCCATGCGCACAATTGACTCCCTCGTCCACAGCCCCACTTTTGCCTCCCTCGTCCACAGCCCCACTCTTGCCACCCTCGTCCACAGCCCCACTCTTGCCGCCCTCGTCCTCAGCCCCATTTTTGCCTCCCTCGTCCTCAGCCCCACTTTTGCCTCCCTCGTCCACAGCCCCACTCTTGCCGCCCTCGAATGTCGCATAATAGAAAATGTGGAACGTTACACACAACATTTCAGTAAATGATAAATCCCCGATTTTTATTTCCAGTTGTAGAGTAAAATTACTCACATTGTAGCGGCTCGACTTTCTGACTGTCGTTATCGCTCTTGTTCTTTCATTCCGACGCATTACTCGAAACTGAAATCTGTTCGAGACGGGCCATTGGATTCACCTCCGACGCTGCACCACTACGTAACAGATCCGCGGTCAGATTTCAATCCCTGGGGAAGGGATCACTTTCCGTGGCAGGGCCGAGGCTGTTTAACGTCCTACCAAAGGATCAATGAGAGGGTGAGTTCACCCTGTAGACCGTCAAGTGGCAACAGCATGTGTTCCTGGGCACAATCCCTGATAGTCCACCTCTGCACCACGACCGGTGGCGAGAATCAGTTGGCCAAATGTCAGAGGTGGCGATCCATCGGGGCCTGGGACTGCTACGTCCGAAACATATACTAAGGATACTAAGGATACGTTTATTCATTATAGGTATTCACCAGAGAATTTCGTCATTGCATGGAGGGTACTATACAAACATATGTACATGCAGGTTAAGTTACCTTAAATTGGTAAAGGATAAAATGTATCAATGATGAAATTCACCATTATCTTTCGATGGCGTCTGTCTTATTTATCGCTGCTTAGCGATATTGCCACAGTGGAAGACTGCGATCGCTCCGCGTTCTTACCGGGAGAGGGGAACGTGAGCGGATTTTATGTAAGGATTCATCAACCCGAATGCCAACATGGCGTTGCTCAATGCCTGGAGGTATTTCGTTTCTGTTTAAGATATCATCGCAAGTGAAGTCGCTGCCTCTTCTGATGTACCGGTACCCGCAAGAGTACTCGGCAGAGTTGGTCGCGGCTGAATCTTGAATCTCAGGACTGAGTGTCGCATTGCGGCCAAATTCGATATCGCGTTCAGGCTGCGAGGGAAACAATTTGCGGGTCATTTCAATAGGAATTTTGGCTGAAAATCCGATGAAAGTTGTGTTAACTAGGTTACTGAAAAATATTTTGGAAAAAGTTCGATCAGTTCCTTTGTTGTTAACTTTTGTCATTTCGGCTCGTTCCCGGGAATGCATGGGACACAGATACGGCAAGACCCAATTATCAGCGGTGCTGATGTCTTTACATTAAGTCAATTATTTATTTCGTATTCAATGAATAGATTTTGTCACATATACTACCAAAAGGACAAAAATATACGTAAGGTAAATTAGGGTTTGTGTATAAATGGATCAAGATACCAAAAATGCTGAACAGTTACGAAGATGATCTTAAATCCTAAACTCAGACATTGAGGTTCACTTTTCGAGTAGAATGTTGAGCTCAGTAAGTAATATCAAGTGCTCCCAAATTAGGATCGTACCACAATAGAAATTTAGAATTATTTTCACTTATAATTGCTGGAGAGAATAGTTAAAAATAGAGGAATAGTGGCGTATCGAATAATAATTGGTATTATGACGCAAAGTAATTTTATTATTTTCTTACTACTCGTTAAAATTATCAATATAATTCGTCCTAAGAAAGTGTTGTCATTAATTTTAATTTTATTTAAATTTTACTTTAAATACAGGAAATGCAGAGAATTAAAGCATTCACATTAATTTTCCATGACAAATTATGTTAAATTGATAAAAAATGTTTAATTAAAAACTAGTAATTAATTTGTTAACAAAGTTGAGGACCATTCGTGATATTTATTTTATTTCCGATTACCGGTTTTTTCCGGAAAAAAAACATAATTATGAGAAGCTTTCTTTGACGTGCTGGCGTATTGGCTTCCCTGCGCATTTCATTAGCCGCGGTTCGGTCGGTATCATCTTGGTTGAAATAAGAACAATAATTCAACCATGGATTTCATTGGATAATTTTAGGTAACTCAGAGGCCAGGTCTTTATTATTCACAACTTCAGCGCAATTTAGGAGCCCGGTCTTCATCATCGGCTTATTTTGGTAATTTTGAGGGTCGGTTTTTATCATTGGTATTTTGTGTAATTTTTAAAAATAAATCATTGGATTGGATTTCGCAATAACGGCATGAGAGGATTTGTGGGGTAAGTGCCAGTCATTACCCACACAGTAAAACAATAGGATTGCAAATGAAAGAGACTGGAACTGAGATTTTACAGCAAGGCAAATTAACAACAAGGTGGGCTTTGAATATATGTATTAAGATGGAAAAATAGTGTAATGAATAATAACCCTACAGATTAGCGAGCTGCCTTTGTATGGATAGTTGTAAAAACGCTTTCCGTTTTTGAGTTTGGGTTGCCGTAAGTCCGCGTTCAGGTTTTAGGATAACCACGGTTTCAACAACAAATTTCCTTTTTATTGAATGAAAAATTGTATCTGTAAGAACAAACATAAAAAATATTAACCCTATATACTTCAATGTATGCTTATAATATTCAGATATAACAAATGATCATCAAAACTATAAATAAGTTATATAAAGGCATAAATCATAGTCTGCCTGTTATTTTTTTCGACAAAATCTGAATTGCCCTTATATACTGGTCGTCTAACTTGGCTGGATGAGTAAACCGAGTACAGCAGACCCAAAGGACCAGCCTTGATTATGGTCCTGCCACCGGCTCTGCCTTCCGCCTGGACGATCGTTTATGCAAGTTAATGACTATAAATTTTGACCAGCGAATGTTCTTTTCCACTGAGAATGTTTGCTTCCACTGTTTCCAGACTGAATGTTTCCTTTGAGCGGGGTCCGTTGGATGTGAAAATTTCCAGCGTGACTCCCCGGACTGTGCTCCTCTGCTAACTTCTAATCTGTCGACCTGAGAAATGTTCAACCTTCGTGCGGCCTACAACTTTACCTACATGTATGTAACTTCATATCGATCAAGCGTCGGCAAGCGGAAAGGTTGGAGCCCAGCCGAACTATATCGTCTCCATCTCTGGTCCAAGAGTTCTCGCTTATTGCTAGTCATATTTAATTGAGGATTCATTATTTCAAGTATCATTTGAATATTTATTAAAGGATGCACGTGCATTTTAATCACCTGTGTCCTTTTACAACAGAATTTTTGATGACTGACAATTTGGTAATTAGTTTTCCTGCGTTTTCACTATCCCGCTGGGGTATCCCATAAATGATGGAAGCTCTTCCACAACAATATCATTTCATTTCAAAAACTTGAAAAATGTACTAATGTTCATTTTAGTGCTTAGTGTACTTTTTTCAAACACATGAGTGAAATATATTAAGTTTCGATAATGAGGACGCACATAATAATTTTAATTTCTACTTGATTATTCAAGTTGCACCGACACTGCGAGAAAACTGCAAGCTTCATACGTGATTATTCTGACGTGATGCCTCTTTGACGTGATGAATCTTATGTTATAGACTTATAGCTTCATGATGACACTCAATTAACTTACTGAAAAGATGGAGGAAATGTTAATGTATTTATAGAAGCAAAACCTCACTGACCTGGCGACGTAGACCACAGGAACCCAACTGACCTGGTGACGTAGACCTCAACGACCTCACTGACCTGGCGACGCAGACCTCAGGGACCTCACTAACCTGGCGACGCACACTTACCTGCTTAAACGCTAATCCAGTGTACAAGTGAAATTGAAGAATTGTAATTGTGATGCAACCATTATCACATATTATCAGGGCATATTCAACATATGTATACATATTATCATGGTATATTCCTCAAATGGGAGACGCCATGCAAACTGCGGTCAATGTTGCACGAGTTGTACGGAAATTTATGCTGATTATGAATTATTATCTCATTTTAAAGTATTTTATTCAAGTTAAAAATTAATTGATTTTTTTTTCGATTAACTGAATATATTCTCGATGCGTTTCTGACTTTTGAGAATTCAAAGTACACCAAATCCTGGCCATGCTGGAGGAGGGGGCCGGGGTGGACGTGGTGTATTTGGACTTCGCGAAAGCATTTGACAAAGTTAACCATGGAGTGCTCTTCAGAAAATTAAGACTACTGGGGGTCGGAGGTGAATTGCTGGCATGGATCCGCAGCTCCCTAATTCAGAAAGACTACAAGCTGTCGTTGTTGGAGGCTCGAAGTCGAGTGAGGCTAGGGTGAAGAGTGGAGTACCACAGGGAATGGTACTCGGCCCAATCCTCTTCCTCATTCACATCGCTGACATACTGTAGATGTGGCAGTGGACCACGCCACTGCATCGCCATTCGCTGACAACACCAGGATACTAATGAGTAATGACCATCACAGACAGGACGGACCATGAGAGGTTACAAGAAGACCTCTCTACAATATATGACTAGGCCCAAGTGAATAAGATGCAATTCAAGGAAACCAAGTTTGAGGTTCTGAGGTACAGAGGTAGCGGAAGAACTGGAATGGAGCACCGCCACCTGGCACCTGACAACTCGGAAATTGAAGAGAAGCGACTCGTTCGCGATCTATGAGTGTTGATGAATACTCAGGTTAANGGCTGCATGGGACACAGGTACGGTACAACCCAATAATCAGCGGTGCGAGTAGACTGTTACCCCTATAAACCCCATTGCCAAGGCTCATGTCTTTACATTAAGTGAGCAATTTATTTCGTATCCAATGAATGGATTTTGTCACAGATGCTGCCAAAATTAAAAAAATACGCAAGATAAATTAGGGTTTGTGTATAAATGGATCAAGCTCCCAAATTGCTGAAGAGTTACGAAGATGATCTTACATCCTAAACTCAGACATTGAGGTTCACTTCTCGAGTCGAATGTTGAGCTCAGTAAGTGATATCAAGTGCACCCAAAATAGGATCGTACGACAACAGAAATTTAGAACTATTTCCATATTTAATTACTGAAGAGAATCGTTCAAAATAGAAGAATAGTTGTGTATCGAATAATAATTGGTATTATGACGCAAAGTAATTTTATTATTTTCTTACTACTCGTTGAAATTATCAATATAATTCGTCCTAAGAATGTGTTGTCTTTAATTTTAATTTTATTTAAATTTTACTTTAAATACAGGAAATGCAGAGAATTAAAGCATTCACATTAATTTTTCATGATAAATATTGTTAAATTAATAATGAATGTTTAATTGAAAACTAGTAATTAATTTGATAACAAAGTTGAGGACCATTCGTGATATTTATTTTATTTCCGATTACCGTTTTTTTCCAGAAATAAAACATAATTATGAGAAGCTTTCTTTGACGCATGTGACGCGCTGGCGTATGAGCTTCCCTGCGCATTTCATTAGCCGCGGTTCGGTCGGTATCATCTTGGTTGAAATATGAACAATAATTCAACCATGGATATCATTGGATTATTTTGGGTAACTCAGAGGCCCGGACTTTATTATTCGCTGCTTCTGCGCAATTTAGGAGCCCGGTCTTCATCATCGGCTTATTTTGGTAATTTTGAGGGTTGGTTTTTATCATTGGCATTTTGTGTAATTTTTAAAAATAAATAATTGGATTGGATTTCGCAATAACGGCATGAGACGATTTGTGGGGTAAGTGCCAGTCATTACCCACACAGTAAAACAACAGGATTGTAAATGAAAGAGACTGCATGGAATTGAAATTTTACTGCAAGGCAAATTAACAACAAGGTGGGCTTTGAATATAAGTATTAAGATGGAAAAATAGTGTAATGAATAATAACCCTACAGATTAGCGAGCTGCCTTGTATGGACAGTTGACATTTATTGGAATCCGACTTGATGAGACTTTGATGTTAATTTGACAGCACAATATGAGGCGCTCATTGATACGTGCAACTGATGCATTTTTCGGGCTGTAAATTAATTGTGTGCACGCTCGGTAATTTTTTTATCATGTATAAATAATTAGTGAGACAGACGGTCATTCAGTAAAGATTATTGAAAGGGATTCTTTTCTGGCTTGTGAATGAGTTAAAAAAGTTTCGGCTCACTTATTCGATATCAATTAGTATGATTCTAAACCATTCGATGCTACATGATAGCTTTTCATACAAAGCTTTTCTTCACGCCTTTTCATGACGAAATTTAATCAATTCTGTTCAAATATTTCTGGGGTATTATTTGACGAAGAAATGCTGTCATGTTGGTCATATTGCTGGCATGGCGATTTCAAAAAAGTTCTGTTGAGATCTTAACACATTGCCATTAAAATTCCATTTGTATCTTTTTCTGACAATTGAGTTCATGTTGAGTTAATATACAAAACATTTATATATTCATTTTTAATACGTTCTTTTTTCTTCTTATTTTTAAAATAAAACGACGAGAAATGTTGGGTGGGACGACATGGCTCGACGTGGACTCTGACGCAGGCATCGCAGCGAGTCCAAATACTAACACTTAAAACCAACAATAAATATTATTACTAAACTCTTCTGCGATATCCTGCTACTAAACGCTAATAATAAATGCTAACGATAAATACTAGTACTAAATATGAAGTACATATAAAGCAAAATAAAAAATCTAAATACCAATTCTAAATATCTACCTTTAAAGTTAATGTTAATATTACACACAAAACTGTCGATGAGTCATGACGTTGCGTGTTTAGTGTGTCAAGAGTGACTTGGGATTCATTTAAGAAATGAGCGGAATCCCTACGAGGGACGAATATCTGGCAGCCTTGAGCCATGAGGAACTCGTTATTATATTAATATTATAAGGGATTATAGATCATTACCATACACGAATATTATGCGTCGTCAAGGATCATTGTGTCGTACTGCGTTGTTTGGAGATAATTTAAATGAATAATTTGATAATGAATAATTTAATTTTTACTTCGGAAAGTAAATTCTAGTTTTTTTTCACTCTTTGGTCCATCTTTGAAAGTTTTTTGAACAAAAGCAAATGAAAACTATTTAATTTTCTGTGGTTCCAAATAATAATTCAGCTTGAAAATCAATCTAATATCTTCAAGTTATTCATCTTTATTTCCTACGCCCTTTTCCTGCAGAAGTTTATCCTAAAATATTTGGTGTTCAAGTAATAAATTTCGCATGACCAGAAACTTTCTACACATATCTTGTAATCCACTCGTATCTTTACTCTTAATCAACTTGAAACTGAAGTTACGCAAGATTGCTGGGTAGGATAAGTGCATTGAAATAAGTTGGTGAGGGACTATGAGCTTGTGCCATATAAACAGAGATAGATAAGATTTTAGAGGGAGAGCTCATCTAAAAAATTACAACAATAAATGAATTAAAAATTAATGAATTAGGAAACAAAAGGTGTTTATAATAATCTAATCCAGTTCTCCGATAAATTACTGCTATGAACCGCTGGGAATGCATTCTATACTAAATTAATTTACAAATAAATGAGATAGTACTGATATGAGATTGAAAAATTGTACTGAAATTCGTAATAAATGAAAATGTCCTCACCTGGACGACAGCAGGTGTAGGAGTCACTGCAGCGCTGGACTCTAAGAGGGCAAACTCCTGACAAAAATCTGCTCGAAAAAACATAAAAAATATAACTCAGTACTCACTGCAGTGAATGACAGAGAGCGCATTTTCTCGTCCGTCCTTGAAGTCACGGACAGACAGAAGAACAGACGGACATGACGAGCACAATAGCGCCTTTTTTCCATAAAAAAGGAAAAAATATAACTCAGTACTCGCTGCAATGAGTGACAGAGAGCGCATTTTCTCGTCCGTCCTTGAAGTCACGGACAGACAGAAGAACAGACGGACATGACGAGCACGATAGCGCCTTTTCTTCCATAAATGAGAAAATGCGCTAAGAAGGAGCTATGACCTAAAACTATTGCCTGAGTCAAGGCAATTGTGGGATATAAAAGAAGCAGAGAATTATGTTATGTTATGTTATGTTATGTTATGTTATGTTATGTTATGTTATGTTATGTTATGTTATGTTATGTTATGTTATGTTATGGTATGTCATGTTATTTTATAAACAGACTTGGGGTGAGCAAGGGGCACTATAAGCTGCAGGGAAGCAAGGGCAGGATAAAACATCTTGCACAAACAACAACGTTGAGGTCTTTTAGCAGCGTACCGTCTCAGTGAACTTTTTGTTTGCTTTTGTATAAAATTTAAAAATTTAAGAATTTGTTTCGGCAAAAGCTTGGTGCAGAAAATATACAACCATCTCTTTTACATGAATGAAATTTTTACAAAACGCGCCGTCAGGTTTAGTTAATATTAATCCAAGCTAGAAACCGTGAAAGGATCTGATATTTTGCAAATATTTTGCTTTGTAAGTTCACCAAGAATTATTGGAGATTTCTGAAACCTTGGACCGTTATTGTGAAAGTAAAATCCTATTAAAATTATTTTTCTGTGATTGTTTTTTTTTTCGCGACCAAAGTTTGGGAGCAATTTTCCAGAATGGTTCAACAATCAGAATACTCGACCTTAAATTCAACGGCGATAACAATTCTCGGGCATTTTCCACGGTGAATCTATTAGTTCAAAACCATACGTCACGAGCTATTAAAAAAATATTCTTTTGTTAGCGCATTTTCTAATTTATGAAAAAAAGCGCGATTGTGTTCGTCATGTCCGTCCGACCGTCGTGACTTCACGTTTTCGTCGATTTTGAGAAATTGCGCTCTCTGTCACTCTAATTTGTATTTAATATCTATATCTGAGCTACCGATACGCCTATGTATTAATGATACGGCTATGTATGACATGTCTATGTATTAAATGCATGTCAAGTCAGTCTAGTTTTAGGCTCTAATTTAAAAAGCACTTCAGAAGAAGCAGCTTTTGACTCAGTGAATTTGAGCGCGATTGTTCTGACGGAAATTCGAAGTCTCGGAGTCAAAACAATCCAGGGTTGTTGTCAGCAAAATTGCCGCATCCATCAAGAGCTATTTTGAAGGAACGACCATTACATTTTAATTAACTACTCGCCAGGCTGTTATTAATAAAATTAGGAAAGCGAAAGCTCTCCCAATTAATATTAAGATAGAGCGGCACTGATGCAACAACAATTTAACTTCGATTAGGTATTTTAGCAATAAAAAGGTGGAATAATATTTTATTATTACTTTAATGACAATCCACTAAATTTTGTTTTAAATAGAATTTGGTTTTCGTTCGCTAATGAATTTGTCTTCCAGCTTGAAAATATTTGAATATTTCAGCCTAATAGAACTAGAATATTCCCGCTTAATGATAATTTCAGCTTAAAATTAAGAAAAATATTCAATGGAAATTCCAAATACTTAGTTTATTTGAATTTGAAAAATTCATAAAGCATTTAAACACTATAAGCATTTAAATTTAAGAAGATTGAACTTAATGAAATGTTAGCAGGTTTTCACTTTAAGCTGGTATTATTGATTTGATTTAATTATTTATTCGCACAGGAGCACACGTTACAATGAAAAATAAAAAGAGACGTGAAATAAAATAGCAAGGCTTCCTGGTGAATGCCCATATAAGCTAAAAATGCTTCGCAGGCTGTATTATTATTTTAAGCTGTCAAAGAAAAAGGCTTCATAAAAAGTTTTCGATATTTTCCTTAAGAGCAGCTGGATTAATTAACTTACTCAATTTTTCCAGGAATTTAAAAGTAAAGAAAATAGCCAAAAAGTTTACCATTTCTTATAAGAGAAAACGTTTCAGAGTCCAGCTTCATCGTCAGTTCAAAACCTAGAACACAGGTACAAACAATTAGTAACCTAAAATTCACATTCAAACAATTCACCTAAACTTGAGGACATTAGAACTAAAATCGAAGACTCCGAAGCTGGACTCCGAAACGTTTTCTCTTATAAGAAATGGTGAACTTTTTGGCTATTTTCTTTACTTTTAAATTCCTGGTGAATTTGCGACTTAAGCAGCCAAGTGATTTTAATACTCAATTTTTGCTACCGGTTAGTGCTTCGCTCCTAAGAAATAATAATCCGGATAAGTATAAAAACACTTACAGGAAAAGCGTAACCGACGTTATCTTTTTTTTAGCGCAAGCAGCAAAAATATCCACTTTACAGATCTCGTAGCATTAAACTAATGTACTCGTACATATTATTTTGGAATACATTAGGTGGACGAGAAGGTTAAAATCATAAGAAGGCTCGGAATATCACTTTAAGGCAACACAGAATCACACTTGCGGAGCTAGCGCAGCTTATAAAAGTCATTTGCTAACCCAATAACAAACTCCAAGACTGCAATAACATATTTAATTACAAGTACAGTTCAAGAAAATATGCCGATCTTATGGTTCGAGAACAAAGGCTTCAATTGAGCACATCTAAGAATAGCACACCTTGTAGGCCTCCAGAACTCAACCTTCTCCGGCCGCCTTTGCCCTGCACCGGCAGGTCGAGACGACTTCCACCCGCCAGCGAACCGGATGCATACTCGCCTGATCAAAGAAAAAAAATGCTTATTATTTCCATTTTCCGTGCATTTCACAATTATGCACATAGACAAGAATGCAATAACAATAAATTTCAACTGATTGGTAATTTTGAAGGTACCAAGATAAATTCAGACACGAAGTTATTGAAAGCTATGATGTAGGAAGCAAATTTAATGTTCGATGTGAAGGCTCGAGAGTTTTGAATCAGTCTGTAAATCGTGCCAAGCTTATTTTGTAGCAACCGCTCGAGTTACTTCAAGTATTAGAAACTTTTTTGATGTAACAAATACCAACTGCCACGAAAAAATTATTTTTTCTATGAGAGCTCTTTCACGGGAATAGATAGCTAAATAAAATTATAATTAGACTATATGGATATTATTGGATCATTGCTCAATTGTGTTGTAATGTAAGTCTGAATATCCTATATTGAATGTTGCCGGCAACCTAAGTTCACATTTTCATTCCTCTACTTGATGATGCTTGAAATCAGAAATGCACGACATCACTTGATTAATGAGCACATCCGGCTTGAGAGTCTCTAGAGGCTCATTTGCAACAAAACACGGAATATATTAAACATATACTGTATACCGAATATAAGATCCGCGACCAGAAACGCACTGAAATAACGTGATTGGAACTGTTTCTTCATAAGTTGCTGCGCTTAGAACGAGCAAATATCAAATAATCAATGAAATACACAAAAATTGAGCGTAGTGCTAATACATACACATAATTTGCTAGGAACACTGAATAAAAAATTCCAACACGGCAATTAAGACAGGTAAAGCTATTGGACCTCCTACACTTGTCACGACGCATGAAAAGTGGTCGGTCAGCAGATAACGCGTTCGTAATCTGCTATTCTAGCAGATGTTGCCAAAATGAAATTGTAATATCAATGTTTAACCTCTATAGTTAATGAACTGAGGCTACAGTTAGTGTGGTAAAGTTAAAAGATTCATAGAACACAAGCCAATATGCAATCGAAGACATTAGACCCCCTCAATTCGTCACACTTACCCGGGGTGGTATCGCCGTTGACAGAGATACCGTCAGCTGTCTCCTTATCTGCACAGTCAGACGGTAGACTGACAGCGCGCCCTGCTGTCAGCCTGCGAGCTCTGTACCGTCTCAGTGTAGCTGCCAGCAGTGAAGTGGTCAGCAGTGCCAGCAGTACGACGACACTCCCGATGATCCCTGCCAGCAGAGGCGATGCTGTTCCTGGAGGCGCTGTGTCAGCATCTGAATCAAACGAAACAATATTAAATTGTCCCAGAACGTATATTTAAAACAATAAAAGATAATAGGATTGCAGTAAGATTGTACGTGCAGAGTTCGTTTGATAGCGCTGCGAATTTATTTTAGTATGAAGTCTGCAATTTCGTCTGATTATTTCTTATTCGTCCAAATAAAATGAATTGATGAAGTTCTGGGATTAAGGATCGATTGAAGGAAATGGTATTGGATTAATTAAAAAAAAACAAGTTAAGAAGGCGGCATTGTAGCAGGCGATATTTGTTGGGTTATTAAAAAGTGACGAGAGAATAACACGAGAGGAAATCTTGTAAGCTAAGCTGCTTGTATAACACTGTTATAACATAAGTTAAATATCTAAATTCGATTTCGCTCAGCGAAATAAATAAAAATGTTTGACAGCGCGCCCTGCTGTCAGCCTGCGAGCTCTGTACCGTCTCAGTGTAGCTGCCAGCAGTGAAGTGGTCAGCAGTGCCAGCAGTACGACGACGCTCCCGATGATCCCTGCCAGCAGAGGCGATGCTGTTCCTGGAGGCGTGGTGTCAGCATCTGAATCAAAGGAAAAAATGTTTAAATGTACCAAAGCGTATAATTAAACAGCGAAAAGATAATAAGATTGTAGTAAGATTTTATTTGCAGAATTCATTTGATGGCGCTGCAAATTTTTTTTAAGTGAATTGTGCAATTTCGTATGATTATTTCTTATTCGGCCAAATAAAATGAAGTGATGAAGTGCTGGGATTAAGGATCGATTGAAGGAAAGGGAGTTGGATTAGGTTTATTAAAAAAAAACAAGTTAACAAGGCGGCATTGTACTGTAGCAGGCGATATTTGTTGGGTTATTAAAAAGTGGCGAGAGAACTAACTACACAAAAGGAAATCTTGTAAGCTAAGCTGCTGGTATAACCGTGAGTTAAATATCTAGTTTGAATTCGCTCAGCGAAGTTAATAAAAATGTTTAAAACAGCCATGAAATAATGTATGCTCTAAATCTCATTCAATCATACAGATTGTTGAATCTTGCGTAAACTTTGCATCGTATTGTGCAGGCATAAGAACGAAATTAAGATGAATGTTTTTCCTCGAATTTCGAAACAATCAGAGAAATCAAACCTGAAGAAGCTGGGTAACCATCTTCGTTAAAAATGAAGAATTAAGTCCGATAAAATAACATTATTGTCGGTTTCAAAAGTATACAATTGTATAGTTTTGATTTTAACTATCCAAATATTTCTTATCGCTACCGGCTACCTTGGACCATCACAGATCTTTATCAAAAGATTGTCAGCCACGGGCTCAGTTTTACCCTAAACTTTCCATGCTGAACTTTTTCGTCATGAAAAATTTACTCTTAACTTACTCAAGCTTGTTGAAATGATCATTAAATTGAGTTCGTATATGAAAATTTGAATGCATTGTGCTTTGTCATGATGAAAAACAAGATAAATCCTGGTTTTCAAAGTTTATAAGGTATAAAAAAATGACATTTTGTCCAACGTGTTCGTTAAATGGATGATGAGAGACGTCGCTCAGTGCTATGTTAAGCTCGAAGACTTAGATCTCGATTGATTATAATTATGAATGTTTATGATTATGTTTGATTATGAAATTTATGAATAATATGAATAATTATACTCGCAAATCGCTTCATGATAAAAACAAAATCTATTCACACTTATAATTAGCCTCGGTGCTTTTGAGAGCCGAAACCTTCCAAAAAATAATCTTTGAACACATTGTTAAAGGTTAACTAGGCCTGTGAAAAGAAGATAGTTAATTTATACAATAATAAGCGAAACAAAAATTGCAATTAAATACATTCTTAGTTTATTATTTAATGAATGGCGAATATGAATTAAAGCGATGCGTGAAACGTATTACCCGCATGAACAGTTTTATTTTGAAGTTATTGCATTTGAAAACCGATGATCATACATAGTGGATGATAAAATAATTTTATGCTCTGATCGACGAGGTTCATTCTAAAGAAATTAATCCGCGGTGTTATTCATGTATTCATTAAAATTTTCATCATTATCCATTTCCTCCTTTTAAAACACATGAGGAATGCTCTTGGTTAGATAATTCTTGATTCCCACGAGGCATTTACTCACTAACAAGGCTGTCAGTTGGAGAAATTAAATCCGGAGACTAGCTTGGAATAGCTAACATAATTAGTCGGTCTCTTCGTGAATAACACTCCGAAAATGCAAGCAAACTCATTGGAATTAACTTAATCTGCTCAAACTAATTAGGTATACTAATCGTGTCATTAATCCAGAAAATTTCAGAAATAAAAATAAGATCTTAGTTTAGCAGTACAGAAAAAAACAATCGAAAATAAAACAGCGTAAATGGAATGAGCAGCGAGAGGAAATTATAGAACGATCAAAATCATCCGGTGGGTGACCTATTATTGCATTATGTAGGTCTTAACCCTTAAAAGTGAAAAAAATATGTTAATAACTTTTGATCGAGTTGGATAATACTCTAAAAAAATTGCCTATAAGATAAACAAATTTACATCCGGTGTTTAAGAAAAAAAGTGCCAAATTAAACTTAAATTTAAATTAAGTTGCAGGTTGAGGAAACCTTATATGAAAGTATCTGGAAACAAACAAACAAAAAAAAATCCCAGTCAGTTTACAAATTCATTTCAATTCGTTCCCTATTCTGCTGCCTCGTGTATCTAGGGCAAACGTTATCAATTATAAAATTCCGATTCCATAGTAACTGAAGTCCTGCGATTACAGAAAATTGAATATAAATAGAATATAAATTCGTTAGCTATTGGTTCAGAGATTCAAGACGTTTTAATGGGTGCATTTTAAAAGCAAAATGTTTGAAAGTCGCTGTGATGGTTTTAAATCAAATGTCTCCATGGAAATGTTGGCAAATAGTGGTACATGATAGCACGAGATCTAATTCCATACATAACACGCCCCTGAATTCTTGGTATTGGTCATTAAGCAAGAAAAACTACATCAATACAAGAAGAACGAAAACAAACACTTATGTAAATAATTTTAATACCGACTTATAAAATCTTTTGATTAAAAACCGGGGCAAAATTGGGATTTGCACCGAACTATCCGACCAAGAGTTCTTCGAGGGTTTCTTTTGTTTTTTCAGTGAACTTATTTCGACACACATAAAACACATTCACGTATTATTTCAACCCCATATTTAATTACAAAAGCAGTTGAGAAAATTGATACACGTTATTAGCATTCGATTCATTAGGGGCAGGAATATTCGGAATAATAGTTAAAAATGCTCCGTAGTAATGAGAAATGTTTGTACAAGATTCTGCTGCAATAATTCTGCCTAGCGAATTACGGACCATGCCTAGCAAATTACGGACCAGGCAATAAGTCCAGCAGCTATCTCAATCAATCGTCAGCTATGGAAAGATCGGGTTCCAAAGGCCGGATCCCTTGTGAATCAAGTAACGAAAAGTACAAGAATCGGCAACAGGCCATGGGCCTATTTATTAAAAGCCGACACTTCTATTCTATTCTATTCAATTATAATACGTCGTTTGAACTTTGATGCAGAGTCTGTCGCGTAAATATCAGGCAGATCATAGAAGGTAAACTAATCACTTTTATAAATCTCCATTGTTAAAATTGAAGAGGAACGTTGAGGTATTCTTGCCTGGCACGATTTTGCAAGGTGGAGATGAATATATGCGTCAGAAATATTTTTATATGTCATAGGTCCTAATTTTATTTGCCCTAATGTATTTATTTTATTATTATTAAGTATGGTATCAATGAAAAAATAATAATTATGATAATAATGCTGATATTACTACTACTATTACTAATAATAATAATAATAATAATAACAATAATAATAAGTAAAATATCCCCCATACCCATCCGATTTTCGGCGACTTTGAGCGAGAAGCTCTCGAGGAGGTACGGCAGCGACCTGCCCCTGACGTTCACGGAGAACACGCGCACGGCGTAGTCAGGGTCCGGGTCCAGAGGCCGGATGATGAAATCCGGACTCTCGGATGAGATGTTCGCTACCACTCGTCCGGAAACTGGTTCTTCCACCTGCATGCAATTAAAAATTCTGAATGAAAGTGTTGAAATCGACGGACAATAATGTTTTCATGATTTACTGTCCTGACTAAATAGCGAGACAAAGCAGGTAAAGAATAAAGATTGAATAAGACTAATTGTCGCTCGACACATTTCAGGCACGAAACCGAATCAATGAAGTTGGAGAATAAATGTGTTTTAAATCACCCTCTCCTCGGACAAAGAATTTAGATTTAACCCGGCAAATCAAAGTCTGGTAAGGCCAGGTGAGGTCCCAAAATTGGGATATTCTGAGAGGTAGAAGTCCGGGTGTACCGGATCTGCCACTAAAAGAAGTCTGGATGACTTCAGAGACTCGAGCGCTTGTCTTTGATCTGGAGACGAGCTCAGTCGCACCTGACCTGCCGAGTGCGGTATTTCAATTCACACTCGGCGAAAGAAAAATTGTCGAGTTAGGCTAGGAATTTCTCCTAAAAATTTGGGAATGAGAAAATCTAGAGAGGTTTGCACAGACTTTTGAATAAGTTGTTGAGGTCTGCGTTGAAAATAGCATGCGAGCTCGTCCGAAGGTATGTGGATATAGAGCCATACTTGGTGGAGGAGCGTATATTGTCTAGCAAGTGCAAGCAATGGAGTTTGTTTAATACACCCATTTCATTAAAAAAATAATTAAAAAAGAATGAATCAGCATAAATCACGAATTGGTAGGAAACGGAATAAATTAGTTTGAACCGAAGTTAAATTACAACTTTGCTACATCTATATTCCATTCGCTATCCTTAGATCCTATGTCAATTTGCCTGGAGTCAATCTTGAGCGGAGAGCATCTGCTTTTTGTGCAGGAAACCTTCGCTTAAATTTAGAGCTCACCTGAACCTAATCTAAAAAAAATAATACTATAATAATTTAACCAATAAAACCAAAGCTCATTTATCATTAGTATATATATTTCTTATTTCTCGAGTCTTTAAATATATAGCAAACACCCGTACGTGACTTTATAAAAAATCTGTAAAAGTTACAAAAATTCATACCCCAAAATATAATATTTCAGTTTCAGTTCAATTTCTGAAACTTCTCACAAGTTCTTTTTCTGAAACTTTAATGAATTTGAGCTCACCGAGCAAGAATTTTGATCGCTCCCGCATTCCTTAACACGAAAACCATATGTAATTTTATATTTATGTTAAATTTTAAGATAACGCTGATTACTCGATACCCAAGCGTTGGTACTTAAATCCTATTAGAAATCCTAGCCTTGAATCATATTTGAAATTTTTAACAGAATGACTATACATGAATTCGATCTTAACACTTTGACTGCGACGTGCGCCATATATGGTACACGCACGCATGTCCCAAACTGCTATGTGCGCCATATATGGCGCACTCTTAAAAAATTTATAGTTTATAAAAAAAAGTTCTTTAAAATATCAGCCAGATCATAAACTTGTGAAAAATATGATAGGTAATTGACAATAATGTTTTCAAAAACCTATATGAACGTCGTGCAATCGAATCATAAGAATCTTAGTAGTTGGAATGTAACCTGGAATAATGAGTGGGTACAAAAAAGAAAAATTATTAAATAAAGGGGGTTATCTTGTTCCAATATGTTGAAAATCATTTTTTCGGTATTGGTATGGATTATAGCAGTAGAAAAATAAGTATTAGTCATTCAAAAGTTGCCTAAGCTCACACAGAAATAGAATGGCACTGTAAAAAGCAAGATAAACAGAGATACGGATTCCGAGTACTGGGCTAACAATTGATAGTTACTTTTCTAGCTTTTCGTCTCACTTTAGCACCAACTAACTTCCTTTTTCTTGCAATTATCTTAAAGCAAGACGCAGATCAGTAGCTCGTCATGACATGAAGTTCAGATCCTCAGCTTCAAATACTTTAGAGCTGGAACACCAACATCTAAAATCATTGTGATTTGGTTATATAAACATTTCTTCACGTGTCTACCTATTACTAGTGAAAATACATTCAGTAATCTTCAACAACTTCAGCAATTCGCATCGATTTTTACCGACTATAGAACTGGGGCCGCATTATCAAAACTTCGTAACTTTTTGTACTTCCGACAAAAAAGTTACGAGTTACGTTACGTAAGTATACCCTAATTTTGGCATTATCAAAACATTCGTACGTAAGACTTAGCTAAAAGCGTACTATCAAAACCATCTGGCCAACTGACCAATCAGAGGCTTTGGATTTGTTTACATTCTGTGAACTTCGATGGCGGAAATCGATGCCTTCGATGGTATCGACTATCGAATGCTGTCTGTCGGTATTGCTCCTTGTTGGCCCAGAAAAGGCCGTTCTAAAATAGTTGTGAACTCTTTTTAATTAACAGCGTGAGTTGAAGAATAAATCTGTGTACGGAGCTAAAAATTATGGTTGGCAAAGATATAAAGTACCGACTAGAAGAAATGAATGAATTGAATTTTTGAAAAAGAATGAAAAAAAATTTGAAAAAATGAATTGAATTTTTTTCCAATATCACTGCTTAGCACGATCACATATTTTAATCGTGCAAATGTTGTATGATCAAGTAGTGGAGCCATCACAAGTAGAGCCATCATTCTATGCGTGCATAATCCGCGCTGTCTGATTATTGATAAAATTCTATCACAAATCACGGTGTTGCTACTTGCTAGTAAATCAATAGTTTCCTATTGCTTCAGCAGACACTCTAAACTTGTGTGGAACTCCACTTACGACATCCCCGAGCAGGCGTACAGTTACGTTGCGTATCTTCCCGCGCAAATGTTTTGATAATGCCACCTCTAGAGTTACGTCATCAAGTCAGCACTTACGCCACTCGTAAGTCGATTTTGCGTTCTTACGAACTTTTGATAATACGGCCCCTGATCATCAAGCACCCAGGCATTTGCTACAGTTTTTGCCAATAACTTCAACAGTCGTTGGTACCACTCCATGCTTTGCTTTGAGCAGTTTTGTAAGAAATCATCTAAATGAATTTCCCTAAATGAACTTCCCATTTAGCAGCATTTTACCCCAGAATGATTTTTAGTTTGATTATTGCAGTCACAATCCGATTTCATTTGCACAGAAAATGTGTTTTTCAAGCGTTAGTACCCGTGTGATGCAAATTTTTTATTGTAGTTGAACAATAAATGCCGTGTACCTCATATGGCGCACGTTGCCTAGAAAGATGAAAGTTTCCATCCCAGGCGACGTGCACCAATAGAGGCTCACAGTTTTTATGTCAGAAGCTTGTAGAACTCGCTCAGACAAGAGCAGCGCACTAGCCCTGATCTCGCTGCCTTGTCTGAACTTAAGTTATTCAAGTTTGAATGAGTCGCACCACTGGAATACAGGCTATTTTGCGAGTCGCAGTCAAAGTGTATTAACAAACGCGGTATTCTACCCACTTTGAAAATTTAAAGTAGATTGTTTTTAGTTACTTAGGCACCACGTATTTCACGCCTCGTACAATGATATTATCCAACAACAGATTAATTGCATCACGATAGTCATTTGAATTCCTTATAAGTTTGTATAAGCCGGATGTATGTTTTTCCCCGTATCTTGGATGCAGTTCTTCAAGTTCCTGAGCCCAGTGCAGGCAATTACCCAAAGACCAGACAGGAAATTACGTGGCAAGTGGACGGCTGGAGAGACGACGCGAATTTCAATGAATTTCTTTGTACCTGAGTTAGAGGAAGCCTCGGCATTCTGCAGTATATTGAATGGGTCTCATTGTCCAAAGAAGAAACACTTTTTACACTGACACGTTCTTTTGCCTGGCAAGACTAGGCTTGTATGATCCATACAAGGGCAGTGAGTGCATCGCAATGCGGACGAAGTCTCGCTCGTTTCTCTGAGTGTATGGGTCGGGGGAGGAAGCTTATACAGTGGGAAAAACTATATGATGAACGGAAGCAAACCCCGTGAGTAGAAGAAATGGTGCCCTCTTGGCCCTCCGCCACACTCACCACCGCCACATTCACCACCGCCACTGCCATGTAGTATCTGCCGGCGCTGGAGGTGGCGGGCCGGCAGGTCACGTGGAGGCTCGACGGCGTGCGGTTGTGCACACTGCAGCGCTCCACGCTCGCCGGCTCGCCTGGCGACAATATGGCAACACTGATTTGTGGCGACACTGATGTATGGCAACACTGGGGTACGGCAACACTTGTATGTGGCAACACTGCTTTATGGAAACCCTGCTCTATGGTAACACTTTTGTATAGCAACATTGTGTTATGTATACAGTTGATACTTCGACAGTTTTGTTGCCGTGCTAAAATTTCAGGAAACGCGCATAACATTTTGAAAATTTTTACAAAACATAATTGCATAAAAGTACTTATCCTCTTACTTTTTTCAATTATTGCTATTTGGTCATTTTAAAATTTTAGCGTTCCCATCTCATCGCGCAAACGATCATATAACGACTATATATAACGAAAAGGAAAAGAATCGGCGACAGGCCACATCAGGCCTACATTTCAGCGCCGACATCATTATGTTATGTTATGTTATAACATTCCTATAGCGGTTCATTTGACAAGATAGTAGCCGAATAATCCCGCATAGAACTATCATATGCCCACTAAAGCTTGCTGCTACCCCACGCAACTCGACGGCTTTTATGTCTTGAACACAACGCGTTTACGTCGCTACAAAAAACTCTTTACCTATTCTCCCACCGCGGCCAGAATCCCTAATGACAGACTGGACCATAAAAAGAATCCTGCATGTTAGGCTCCCGGAAGGCAGGATTCGCCATGTCCTCCTAATTAGAATTTTCTTTCGGCGCGAACTTGCAGAATACCAACAAAAAATCCTAATCACAAGATGACACACGAGCTTGGTGGATGGAGAACATTTTTGAAGGTAGTTAGGGATTGGTGAGTCGGGAAATATCATCCCACAAACTTGAAAATTTATTCCGCAACTGTCGTCACGCGACGTGATTTGCGAGACAAGATTGATCTTCGCCTAGAATGAAAAATTTCATATCCATTGCATGAAATAATAATGCTTATAGTTGATTCAATGTAAGAGTACATTTTTATTTATTTCACTTCACGCTTAATAAATTCAGGAATGTGGTGTTTGAAAAAAATTACTGAAGCTCATCACTGAAAATGCAAAACTGCAAAGTTCACGGCAATTTTCGGAGGAGTTAAATAATTTTGTTATTATATAATTCATTGATCTAGTAAACCTTGATGTTGAGGAAATATTTACACTAAAATAAATGTATCCGGTTAAAAAACTGAAATTTAGACCAAAAATTTCCGATTAAGCAACACGAACAACGAAGTGATTTTCAACAACACTTTGTGTACAGGCTTACATACAACTGCAACACATGGAGTGACTACCAAGCTTTTCAAGAGGCAAACGAGACGCCCAATTACTCAATAAATAAGATTATACGCTTGATAATACGAGCATGGGAGCGCCATCAGTGCTATAAAATAGCTGTAATAGCTCTATAAATAAAGACCACCGGGCATGTATAAACTGGAAGCATTAAAGCTCGGATCAAAGCGACCGTATGAGCTGCGGATGAAAGGAGGCCGCTTCTGTAGCTGTGAGACGCTGCACGCGGCGACAATAGTGTCATTTAAATGATATAGAGTGAGAATTATCTCAGTAACACTTGAATTTTCGAGTACCTATGAAATTTAGTCTATTCAGTAATACTCTTGGCAATTCAGGCAGAGTATCTAGGCTGATATTCTTGCCATTTTCGTTTGAAACTTTCGCCATTTTCAAGCCTTGCAAATGGAGATCATTTAATAATAACAATGCTGAAAAAATGAAAAGTTTTCATTTATTTACGCTGGGGGAATTTCTTTAGTCCCAAGGACAGAGTGTAACCGGAGATTGCATTCTTCAGTAGAAAAATGCAGTGTGAACCCCATTTATTTTCAATCAGCAGACAGAGACTGATTCGTTTGATGTTTTTCCTGTGTACATCAAAAAATTTGAATAGAATAAATAATAAAATAATGCAAATTTCCAAATAATGCATAATTTCCGATAATAATTAATTTAATATTTCATCAGTTTGATTTTCAGATGAAATCCGGCAACGAAAGTAGTGATTTAAAATTTTCGGAACAAAATGTACGTTAATGACATTAATATAGTAATCAAATTATCTTCAGTTAATTTCAAAATTTTCTCGCTAAATCACATTGCAATCTTTTAAATAATTCAAAAAGAGCACCCTTCTTTTCATCATATAGAAGCTGACTCCATTGCAGCATTTCGAAAATCCCGAAGCTCTTATGCGGAATTTTGACGTTTGTTTACTTGTAGAATTAAGCGTAAAATGCTGTACAAAACGATAACGTTTGCTCGATGGAACAGAAAATCCTTATGGAAGAACTCCCTTGCCATTTGCATATGCTCACTCAATTGAGCGGGATTTTCGAATTCACCAACAATTTTTGACTAAAAATTTTCAACAGCGCAGCAGCAAAAATTTAATTGCGTCTAGCTTGATCATTTAGTGTTTCCAAATATTTCAGGATGTAATCGAATATTTCTGAAAGTTATTTCTAGGAAATTTAATGTAACAGCATCCATTAATACACTTCTATAAAAAAATTCCTCAATAAATTGAAAATCTCTCATTTGGTGATTTCAAATTCGGGCTTCTGCCTCCTCTTCGGTATAAATAACGAGCCAGAATTTTGCACTAACAATTTTTTCACCGTATACTTTATATTATTGGTAAATTTTTTATAGAAATTTGTTTTTATTCAACAAAACTCGTCATTAATAAAAAAATAATCATTAATAGACATGAAAATAATTCAATGCAGTACAACATCAGAACAAACGAATATTATTGTAAAGAATACAATGGCTGGAGCAATGCAGTGCATTCATTAACACAAAGCATGTAAATTATCCAAGTATAGCATTTCATGGAACGCGAATGCCATCTCACGCAGCAGCGCATTATCGAAGCATTTCATGTAACGCGAATGCCATCTCACGCTTGACGCATCCAGAGCTCCAGGCTGCCTAGCATTTAAATTGGAAGCATCTGCTGACCTGCTTTGTTTGTGCTCAGTTACAACTGAGTTGTGGGGAATGTTTGTATCAGAATGTCAAGCACTTTAAATGCCAATCTAATTTGAGCGAAACCTGTATATTGAATGAAGAAGATACTCGATCTGTTATAAAAATTCTTTTTAGCAAGGTCGTAAAGAGAATTCATAACAGTAGTGCCTAGTTCAAATGAGACAGTGAGAGCTTATTGTGTCATACTCAAATCGACTAATAAGAGAAATTGAATAATTTATTGGGTTTAAATATAGAATTTCAATACCTAATACGCCCATGGTTATTTTCAGCTATTTATTCCACGAAATTAATTAATTACAGGTTTCGACATTTGCATCTAAAATTATTACCCGCACTCGTAACGAGAGTTCTTCCGTATCATAGTTTTCGCAGGATAGACACATAGTTTGTGATAACATATTAGCATATTTATTGAATTCATAAAACATACGCAGAGTTATAATATTAAAAATACGCCATAGAAATTCATCACACAATTTTTAAAACCAAAGATTACAAATAAGCTGAGCAATCGCTAAAAGAATGCAAGCTATATCCGCATTAATAAACATTAATGCATGCTCATGCCTCAGCATAGGTTTTGAACAAAGAATTGATTGACAAGGAACATCGAACGATGCCGAGGAGGGTAAAAAGTTATTAATAACGTATGAACGCTCACAGCGAATAGGATGAAAAATTTTATCTAAAAGATTTGAACGTATTAACTTGGAAAGTGTCTAAAATTAATCATGTACAGGAAATGGTAAAATATATGTGTTGCAAAAAAATAGAGTGAGAAAAACCGTGAAAACTTGCAGCAAACATTCGTCAAAAACAGGGCATAGAAGGATCAATGGGACTTGAAAAACATCTTAGAAATTGCTTAGAATATTAACATCTATTACAATAAAAAAATTGAAACAACCTCTATCATCAGTTTTAAATGTGAGGTACTGTTATAGTTTTTAAACTTTTAGCTCATGAAAAATTCAGGCATCGAAATTCTCTCAATTTGTGACTCTAACGGTCAAATGACATAAATGTATTAAAAAAACTTCTCGATGTTGCTTAGTGGTTAAGATCACTACGAACGAAGCAATGAGTTGGGGGTTCAAGACCCACAACTGGTTGTGAAAAATTAATTGTGATAGTCGAAATCAGTAAGATGCCCGGGTAGTTAAGAATAAGCAACAGACGAACACAACCAACACAACTATATACTGTATTATATAAATTGTAGTTCGTGAATTATCACCGCGTGGAGTAGATAACTACGTTTCAGCATTCAGTTCAACAATTAGTCATAAAAAAATTCCGTACCGTATTCGAGGAGAGTGTTGGATTATTCTATAGACTTTTACGGCAAATTCTTATCTGAAGTATGGGGTCGAAGAGTATTTTCGATGAAGTGGACGTATAGGTTGACAGGTAATCCTTCGAGACGTTTGTTTGAAAGCTCGGAATGTGACAATCTTAAATTATGAGCCTAGCTTGATGGTGGACTTCATTAAAATTTGACGTTGACGTGCATCATAAAAAATCAATCGTTGCAAGCCGCAGAAATAATATTTACTGAAATTCATGTTTATAACGATCGATGTTGATGTTCACAGTTCAAATAATTCCTTTTCAAATTTTTCCTCACAGTTCAAATTAATTCCTTTATTCTATTAATTCTATTCTGCTTTTATATTTATTATGCATATATCTATTATATCTATTATATCAATCATATTCTGTTAATTGTGTTTATTATTTCAGTTTATGTTAATCATTATTATTTTTCCAAATCACATAATCTATCTTATATTATATGCACAATACAGTGAACATACTAAACTGTGTATCCAGTATCCCATCGTTTCTGGATGTTCGCCGAAATTAAACGTTATAAAGCATGATATAAATATTTAAAATTGCATTTTTAAAAAGTTGGATCGGAAAACGGACGTTGGATTAAAGTATTTATATTAAATTTTCTAATTGTCAAGTGTACATATAATAATTTTTTTAAGTTTGAAGCCAACTTTGAGAAAAAATTCGTCGTTCCGTCGCAGAATTTGATTTAGTAATCCCTATTTGGCTTCTATTTTGCTTTTTATCGGCGCGAAATATATAAAGTTATTCATGAGGTGCTAGAAAACCTACTACTTCCACAACTACTGTATGTACTACCCAATTTTGCTTAACTCCGGCACCTCTCGGGCTGCGTTTTGGTTTTAATTTGGCTCCAGTCAGAGTTCACTTTTGTTTGAAAAAAATTTGGGAAATATCTCAAAGAATTCTCGAAAAAATCTCAGACCAAATTCAGACAAATCTTAAACAAATCTTAAACCAAGTTCAGACATACCTCAAACAAAACGAAATGACGGGCAAAGCCAGATGAAACAACGAGTCAAATAAAAATGGAGCAATTAAATTAGAAAATTAAATTCTCCCACGAATTTGGAATTGAGGTTGTATGAAGTTTTGCACTGTGAATTCGCAATTGATTAGCAGTAATTAATGAGAGAATTATGCTTAAGTCAGGTAGGATAATGTGATAGGAATGTTATCAAATTAAATTGATTATAATTACTTAAAAGGATGGTGACATCGCCAGCCAACTATTAATATTTTCAATAATATTATTAATGATATAAAATATACCTAGCATTAATATTATTTCGATCGAAAGGTATATGTAATTTGCTAGGCATTTTAAGACTGAACATATGCTCCTGCATAGCTTCGTCTAGTCTGTTTTTGAAGATGTTCATACTCGGAGCGTCAACGATGCTATCAGGTAGGCTGTTCCACATGTCGGTGACTCGAAGCGAAAAGAAATGTTGTCGCATGGATGTGTTACTACGCAGTTATTTAGTTTATAGCCGTGGCCCCTGGTGTTAGTTCTTGTTTCAAATTCTAGTAATCCTTCTGGGGCCTTGTATAAACCGTGGGTATTATTCAGGACTGAGTGAGATATTTCTCTTTCAACTGCATGGTGTGTATTACTGATTGAATAATGTAATGCTAGCAGACTAAAGACATTATTAGTATAAAAATTTGTGTTCGGGCATCCGTTGTAAACAATCCTCAAGGTGAAGCAGGATCTGTTCGCTGCGTGTGAATAATTTACCTTGTTTGGTTTAAGCTGCCGGTAATAATGGACGTCTATGTACAAGTAATTTTCCTGACAGTTGCGCTCAGCAACATGTGAAGGTCGTAAAACATTCAACCTCAATTGCTTGTTATAGGTCTATGCTTACTTTACCAACGCAATAACAGAACCAAACATCCTGCCAGTCATTGAAGAACTTTATTCAAAGTGAAAAATATAAATGTCGTGAAGTTAAAATAGAAAATAAACGAAAGTGATAAAAAAAGTTACCTAAACGCACAAAAAAACCCTACAAGACTAAATTCATGTCATTTTTTAATATCAGAGGATTTTTTAAAGAAATTTCATGTAACGACTGTGATGAATCCGACAAAATTACCTACGATATAATTTAGGATGACATTGAGCAATTTTTAACTCATGGAATCACGCTTCCTATTATAACGTGACGAAGCAAGTCTTCCTCAATTGAATTCTTTCGGCATGGGTTACATGGTTTAGCTATCTTACTTGGATCCAGGCGCAGGAATCGCAGTGAATTTTTCATGAAGGTTTATTCCAGTCAATCGACTGAGGCAACAAATCTGTGACTTTTATAGTCTCATGACTTGGCAGCGTCTAGGAAGCCTATCAATATTGGATGCGTCTGCTCGAACCGAATACTTCCTAGAGATGCCAACATTTCTGTGTTGTTGAGAATTAGGTCTTGTTGGCTGAACAATTTAGAGGCAAATTACGAGCACAAATGTAAGGAAGCTGAATTAAATTCCACAGTTTTATTTTTTTGCGATAAAATTAAGCGCAGGCTGCGTTTACTTGCGAAGGAATTGCTAGCGTTGCTTTCGAGAGAAAATTAACTACCATTTTACTGTAATAAATTCTATGTTTATTACGAAAACCGATGAGCTGCCCTCAGTTTTCACATCCGCAAATCCAATCTTTCTCAGCTTCTATTGTTTGTTTCAATTATCAAATATATCGTGGTTCTTATTTCAGTAAAAATAGCCTAATGCTCTCTTTTAGACGAGTACTTCTGAGTCTTGCACGAAGCAAGTTCTTGCTGTTTTTTATTCCTATTAATATTTTAAATAAATTGTTATATAACTTCTAGAACACTTGCACGATTCATCCAATCACTTCGAAGATCTCACATAAAACTTTAACAACAGTGAAAACCTGCATAAATAAAAAAAATCTTGAATAACACATGACTAAATCACTAGCAAATTGAGCACACGAACATGAAAGGAATCGCTGACTAACTAAATAAACGAACATAAATAAATCATCGACAAACTCAATAAACGAACATGAAAAGAATGTGAATGAATAAGTAACATACTAAATAAACGAACATCAAAGGAACATGAATAAATCATTGATAAACTAAATATACGAGCATGAAAGGTACATGTACGAACCACAGTTAAACATTCTAAATTTTGCATCATACCGCGGCGTCAGGCTTGAGGAGCGTCACGCCCTGACTTGTGTTGAGGCTCCAGGAGAAGCGCGTAGGGGGCGGGTGAGCGTCCACTGCGCACTCGACGCTTACATTCGCCCCACTGCTCACCAGCAGCCGCTTCTGCTCCCACCGACAGCGAGGGGCAACTGAAGTAAAGATGGGAGAATTGCAATATCTTAGCTGCTTTCACCG